GTGAAAAATGGCATCGGAAGAAGGGAAGGTTAAGATTAACAAGTTCAATGGAAAGATTTTGGATTCTGGAAAATACAAATAGAGGATTATTTGTACCAGAAAAAATTACATTTACCTCTGACCGAGGTGAAGCCGAAGACTATGGCCAAAACAGATTGGGATCTATTAGATCGCCAAGCTCTTGGTGTGATTCGTTTGACGCTAACACGAAATGTGGCGTTTAACATCATTAATGAGAAGACCACTGCAGGCCTGATGAAGGCGTTATCAAATATATACGAGAAGCCATCTGCTTCAAATAAAGTCTATTTGATGCGTCGATTGTTCAACTTAAAGATGACAGAAGGTGGATCAGTCACGGAACATATCAATGAGTTTAATATAATATTAACTCAGTTGAGTTCTGTTAATATAACAATTGATGACGAAATCAGGGTGTTGATTCTACTATCATCTCCACCGGAGAGTTGGTCTGCAGCAGTAACTGCAGTTAGCAGTTCATCAGGAAGTACCAAACTCAAATTGAATGATATTGGAGACTTGGTTCTAAGCGAAGATATTCGCCGAAGAGAATCAAGTGATTCCCCATGATCTACTTTTAGTACCAAAAGCAGGGGGAGAATCAACCAAAGAGGACAGAGTTATGGTCGTGGCAGATCAAAGTCAAGGAGAAGAGGACAATCCAAAAATCGCAAGGACATTACTTGTTGGAGTTGCGATAAAAAGGGTCACTATAGTAGCCAGTGTAGAGAACCAAAGAAGAAGAATGAAGAAAATTCAGCAAATGTAATTGCTGAACAAGTCGGTGATGCACTAATTTGTTGTGCAAATAGTCCAGTCGAATCTTGGATTCTGGACTCAGGTGCATCTTTTCACTCTACATCATGTAAAGAATTATTGCATAATTATATTGCTGGAAAATTTAGGAAAGTTTATCTAGCAGACGACAAACCTCTCGACATTGCAGGAAAATGTGAAGTTCATATAAAGACTTCATAAGGCACGCTATGGAAATTGCAAAATGTACGACATGTTCCTGGCCTCAAGAAAAATCTGATATCTATGGGTCAGATTGGAGGTAAAGGATATATAACAACATTCGGCAATGGACCGTGGAAGATAACCAGAGGGAATTTGGTTGTGGCACGAGGCTTCAAAAGGGAAACACTGTATGCAACTGCAATACAAGGAGATACTATTGCAATAGTTGATCATGGCCATGATACAACATTGTGGCACCGGAGGCTCGAGCATATGAGTGATAAGGGAATGAAGATTTTGGCATCCAAAGAAAAGTTGCCAAACCTAAAACATGTTGAATTAGGTTTGTGCGAAGATTGCATATACGGGAAACAAAAGAGTGTTAGTTTCTCAAAGGTGGGAGGGACGCCAAAGAAAGAAAAGCTGAAACTAGTGCATATAGATGTGTGGGGAATAGATCCTGTAACTTCTTTAGGAGGCTCATGCTATTATGTCACCTTCATTGATGATTCCACAAGAAAGGTATGAGTTTATTTTCTGAAAAATAAATCTGATGTGTTTGTTACCTTTAAAAGATGGAAAGCTGAAGTTGAAAATCAGACAAGTCTAAAGTTAAAATGTCTGAAGTCTGACAATAGAGGAGAGTATGATAGTCAAAAGTTCAAAGCATTTTGCTCGGAGAATGGGATCAGAATGATCAAGACAGTTCCTGGAACACCGGAACAAAATAGTGTTGCTACGAGGAAGAACAAAACCTTGAATGAACGAGCTAGAAGTATGAGAATACATTTTGGATTGCCGAAGTATTTTTGGGCTGAGGCAGTTAACACGACAGCTTACCTCATAAATAGGGGACCCTCTGTACCGCTGAATTTTGAAATTCCTGAGGAGGTATGGACAGGAAAGGAGGTAACTCTCTTACATCTGAAAATTTTTGGTTGTGTTTCTTATGTGCATGTAAACTCTAATGATAGAGATAAGCTTGATCCTAAAGCCAATAAATGTTTCTTTATTGGTTATGGTGATGATAATTTTGGTTATCAGTTTTGGGATGATCAGAATAGAAAGATCCTAAGACACAGGAATGCCACATTTAATGAAAATGTGATGTACAAGAACAAGCTTGAAGTAGAACCAACCAATACCAGCAAATAGACAATGTCTGAAACAGTTGAGTTAGAAGAAATCTCAGAAAATGAAGTAGCTAGAGGGATTACAACTGATTCTGAAATTGAAGATGAAGAACCAGAAGCCGAATTTGAAGAAGAACTAGAAGCCGAACCTAGATCAGAACCAGAACCGAAACCAGAGATAGAATCAAATGCAGAACCAAATCTGGAATCAGGACCTGAATCACATTCGGATTCTGTTACTCATGAACCTACATTGAGGAGATCTAAAAGAGTCACGAATGCTCCAGATAAGTTAACTCTCTCTTGTCACTATTTACTTCTAACTGATACTGGAGAACCAGAGCATTTTGTTGAAGCAATGCAGGTAATAGACTCTAATAAGTGGAAGCTAGCCATGAAAGAAGAGATGAATTCTCTTCAAAAGAATAAAACATGGATACTTACGGAGTTACCAAAATGAAAGAAGGCATTGCAGAACAAATGGGTGTACAGAGTCAAGGAAGAACATGATGGTAAGAAGAGATACAAAGCACGATTAGTAGTAAAAGGCTTTCAGCAGAAGGAAGGAATTGACTACACCGATATCTTCTCTCCTGTAGTCAAATTAACTACTATCAGGTTGGTGCTAAGTATCGTAGCTGCAGAAAATTTGCATTTGGAGCAGCTAGATGTTAAAACTGCTTTCTTGCATGGTGACCTTGAAGAAGACATCTACATGAAGCAACCTGAAGGTTTTCAAGTTTCTGGTAAAGAAAACCTTGTGTGTAAGTTGAAGAAGAGTTTGTATGGTTTGAAACAAGCTCCCCGACAATGGTACAAGAAATTTGATGGATTCATGCATAAAAATAGTTTCACACGATGTGAGATGGACCATTGCTGTTATATCAAAAATCTTGATGAATCCTATGTCATTTTACTGTTGTACGTTGATGATATCCTAATTGCAGGATCTAGCATAAATGAGATCAATTTGGTTAAGCAACAACTGGCGGAGGAGTTTGAAATGAAAGACTTATGACCAGCTAAGCAAATGCTTGGGATGAGGATTAGCAGAAACAGGTCGGAAGGAACCTTAAAGTTGTCTCAAGAAAAGTACATACAGAAGGTACTAAGCAGGTTCAGTCTTCATGATGCAAATACAAGAAGCACTCCACTCGGAAGCCATCTAAATCTGTCAAAGGACCAATTACCTAAGACAGATGAAGAAAGAAAGTACATGCCCAAAGTTTCGTATGCTTCAGCAGTAGGAAGTTTGATGTATGCTATGGTTTGTACTAGACCTGACATAGCCCATGCAGTTGGAGTTGTCAGTAGATACATGTCAGATCTAGGAAAGGAGCATTGAGAATTTGTAAAATGGATATTGCGATATATCAAAGGCACCTCAGGTATGGCACTTTGTTTTAAAAAGAGCAATATTATCTTACAAGGTTTTGCTGATGCAAATTTAGGCGGCGATCTGGATAGTCAAAAAATTACCACGGGCTACGTGTTCACCTTGGGTGGCACTGCTGTTAGTTGGATGTCCAGACTTCAGAAAAGTGTTGTTCTATCTACCTCTGAAGCAGAGTACATGGCAATCTCAGAAGCTAGAAAAGAGATGATTTGGCTCAAGAATTTTCTTAAAGAGCTAGGTAAAGAGCAGGACAATTGTGAGCTTTTCAGCGATAACCAGAGTGCAATTCATCTTGCCAAGAATCCAGTGTTTCATGTAAGATCGAAGGATATCCAGTTAAGGTATCATCATATCCGAGAGTTGATAAACGAAGGAACTCTTTCCCTGCAGAAGATACCAGGATCAAAGAACTCGTCAGACATGTTGACCAAAGTTGTCGGTGTTGACAAACTGAGGCTGTGCACTGCCTCAGTTAGTCTTCAAGACTGATAGCATGAAGGCGCCACCAGAGAATAGCAAATTTTTTTTTTATTTTCTTTCTTGATGTAACATAGGTTTGAGGGGGAGATTGATAGGACCAAACCCTATTATTGTATGTGAAAGTAGACAAAACAAAAGAAAGAAAAATCAAAAAGAGATGAAAATATGATGTAAGCGCTTACATCGACATTCTTGTGATGTAAGCGCTTACCTCGACATTCTTATGATGTAAGCGCTTACATCGACATTCTTATGATGTAAGCGCTTACCTCGGCAGGGCATTCAAATGCCTATAAATAGGGATCTACATTTTCATTTGTAGATCATCCCAAAACTTCTTCTTTCTCTCTTCAATTAATAAAGAGCTATTCTTTGTGTGGCCGCGGAGTAGGCAAAAATTACCGAACCACGTAAATCTTGCCTTGTCTTGTCTTGTGCAATTTATTGCTTTTCTCTCTTAAATATTCTTTTCCTTCTATTAGGTTGACACGCTTCCTAACATTTTCTGACAGTCGCAAAAGAGAAAAACCGGTATCATTAATGTAACACCTTCATTTCTCATCAAGCTAATTTGTGTTCTGATTCATCAACTGCTGCCATAGACAAGATCCTTTAAAACGTTTGCTATTTGTCCAAGTATTCTTTTTCTTTCAATGAGGTTCGTTCCGTAGTTTACAAATTTCAAGGGAAACAAATCCATGCCGCATTCACCATAAAATATATGTGCGCAGGTTTAGTAACCTGGAGAACGAAGCTAAAGGCAAAAATACAATTATCTTATGATCACAAGTCAAACATTTCACGAATTGTGAAGTGTAGATAAGCATATCAAACTCACACGTCACAAGGACACCTTATTCAATATCGTTAATTTGATCACATTTTCCTTTATGCACGCAAGAGAATGGAATTATGGAATACCTACATTCAACTTGAAGTTTATGGAGTTTGTACTATAGTTTAAATCTTCTGGACGTTCGCGTGGCAGGTTGATTAGATCGACATGTAGCTTTTTTTTTTCCATGCTGAAACAAGTTAAAAAGGCTCAATTCTTGATTTGTCTGCAGGAAACAAGCTATTTCAAAAACCCGATACATTATTTCTAATCCATATTCTTCTTTGAGAAAGCTAAACTCAACTTCAAAATGAAAATCTTCAAATTAATGTAGTCTCCATGTCACTTTTACTTATTTTAGATGGCGGTATTCAAGGGCGGCCAGAGAGTAAAGCCACTAAAACGGTGGCTTTAGGCCCCAAAATTTTGGTAGCCCCAATTTTTGTTTCTCAATTCTTATTCGATGTCTGATATTTAATTTGGGACATTGATTAATTAAAATTTGTATTGTATAAAGTCCATTAAAGTGGGAACTGTTCCTTATAAGAGATTTTTTTTCATTCCAAATACTAAAATCGAATACTTCCGATTAAAGAAGGAGATATGTTATCCATCCCACCCCAACTCTTCTCGTGAGACCCCAAATCTTTTTAAGAAAATATTAAGTATTTCAAAGTATAAAAGTAAAATATTTTATATAAAAAAGGATTATATTAATCATTAGAAAATATGTAATACACTTTTAAACTCTATTGTTTTCCTCAGGTTTTCATCATTGCAACAAGATATAGAAACATTAAAAAAACTCTTTTAATCAAAGTTATCAACTTCTTGAATCATATCTATTACTTAAGATCATATTGCACATGAGAGATTAAATGGTTTATGCGAAAATTTTTAAGTAATTTTATTCTCAAAAAACTAGAAAAATCTACTTCAACTAAAAATATATATGATTTTTTTAGATGGCCTCATATTAAAGTTTAGCTTTAGGCCACCAAACTTATTGAGCCGGCCTTGGCGGTATTATCCGAGCCTTCAGCAACCAAAACATCTGTATCATCACACGGGGTGGATGGATCATCTCCAGGAGTTGAAATGCTTGAATTTTGAATGTCCAACACACTCCTGGTTGTTTTCTGTTGTTGATCAAACATCATTTTCAGCTGTTTTCCTTGTTCTTCAATCCTCAACTGTAACTTTCGCTGAATCTAATTACAAAGAAGACAATTTGAATCAAACAAGATATCTTGAGTCAATTCTTTTGGCTCTCAAAAAGTATCATGAATGAGAGTGACACATGGTAGCAAAACATATTTGGTCCTAATTTTCCAAGGTATGCTAAAATATAAAGTACCTCTAGTTGATCGTGAAGATGCCTCTGGACTTCGAGCTGCATTTGCAGTGCTTCCTTGATTTGCATTCCTCTGCAACACAAGTTCGGATCAGATTTAGTTTCAGCTAAGTTTATCAGGAAAATTAAATGAGAAAGTTGAAAAGGAATATACGTTTTGCTGTCGATCTGTACCACATTATTAGGACTATTTCTTGTTTCAGATGCACCTGCAAGAAGAAAACTCTGAAAGGGGAAGTGAGTGTTATCGCGGTGTTCAGCATCCAAAACTTCTGTATCATCATATGGGTTGGATAGATCATTTCCAGGAGATGAAATGTTTGAATTTTGAGTGTCCAACAGACTTGTTGTTTGTTGTTGATCAAATATCATCTTCAACTGTTTTCCTTGTTCTTCAATCCTCAACAGCAACTTTCGCTGAATCTTGTTAAAAAGCAAGACAATAGGAATCAGGCATTTTTTTTTTCCTGAAGAGGATCATCATTTGAGTGATACGCATATTGGCAAAAGCAAAATTGGGGTATAAATATGTCGGGAATCAAACTAAACATACCTCCAATTTCTCGTGAAGATGCCTCTGGACTTCGAGTTGCATATGCAGTGCTTTCTTGATTTGCATTCCTCTGAAACAGAAGTTTGGATCAGATTTAGTTTCCAGCTAAGTTTATCAAGATGATTTACTAAGGAAGTTGCGATAGAGAACACACGTTTTGCTATCAACTTTTGTCACATTACTTTTTTCAGATTCTCCTGCAGGGAAAAAAACGCTGATCAGTTTGCTTCTTGAATTATTTTGGAACGTAATGAAGTCGTGAAAAGGCATAAACAAGCAAATTAGAGATGTCAGCCTTTAGGACTTGAGCAATATTTCGTCTTGAAACAAACAAGTGTTTTGACAGAAATATTTACCTTGTGCTGGATCTGAGTTGCACTTCTTATTCAAGTCCATCAGCTTCAGTTCAGATTTGGTGTTGTCTTTGAATGATCAATGAATCACAATTAAAATGAAATGGACTCTTTAACTTTTAAACATTCGGAAAGGTAAAGGCCAGCTATCTTTATTTAACAAAATTAATAAAGAATATCGTGACACTATTTCATCCTGGATCCTCCATAGGATATAATATTACTAGGATGATTAATTAAAAGACATCATGAATATAAACTGTTTCCCAAGGCCGATACCAGTTGTTTTTTGTATTTAAACTGTTGGGAATAAACCCCGTAAGAATAATATTTACGGTATTAGTGATAAATGTGGAACACTAAGTTATGGTTAAATCAGCAAGAATAGAAATGCAGTAATAATGACACCAAGATTTTACGTGGAAACCCTTCTGAATAAGGGAAAAAACCACGGCCAAGAAGAACAACTGATATCACTATAGCGAGGAATTTTACATTGTATAGTAACGAGTACAAATACTCCTAAGACCACTACATCCTCAAAAGAAAGAACACTCTTTTGCTTTCTCACCTGACTAATATCTCTCACACTCTATTTTTCTTCACAGACTATTTTCTTATAGTCTATGGAATACCTTGCTCTCTCTCACTCAGATATATTGTCTAAGATTTTTGGTGTGTCTACAGCTGAAAATATGCATCCCTATTTATAGGGAAAAAATGGGCTCGCTGATGTAAGCAGTGACTCAAGCAAGCACAAAAAAGTCTATGGAAAGATATCTGGCCGGTTGGCCATATCTCCAAAACTTTGACAATTTACCAAAAAAGGAAGAAGACATCTTCCTTAAAATATGGGGCTGGACCCCACAAATCTCCCCCTCCAGTCTCATTCGCCTGAAGGAGGTAACACCAGAGATTCTAGTTTGAGCGCATGCCGACAAGTTTGCAAAGCTCGAACTTGTCTCTTGGTACTACCTTGGTTAGCATATTCGTAGGTTTTTCACTCGTGTGAATCTTTTTGACCTGTAAAGATTCGTTCTCCACCTGCTCACGAATCCAA